CGTGTACGTTCGTTATCCGGCTCGCTGCACACATGCTGCTCTGCTCGTGTTCATCTTCAGTTCTCTCTTCACAGCAGTTCAGTCAGTGTACTGTTTGAGTAAATGAATTACTCCGGGATACTGGTTTATTTCGACTCACAGGGAGTGTCAGCCAGGTTAAAAAAAAAGTGAATAATTTAAGTAATTTGTGGATTAATGCTTACTGGAGACGCGAACCGTTTCAAACGATTCAGTCCGATTGGGTGAACTGGTTCAACCGGTTCACTAAGAAGAACCGGTTAAATCGAACGATTCGTTCGCGAACCGGACATCACTAGTACACAGATCCAAAGGCGTCATGTCCATTCAAAGTGTTTTCTTCACTGGCTCGCTGACTGAATACCTCTTTCAGGCGAATTATCTCGTCCGAAACAACGAAGTGCAAATGTGTGAACGAATCTGTAAGATATTCATTTCATAGTGTTGTCAGGGAAAAACACGGATTCAGTTGGTTCAACTCAAAAGTTTATTAAAGTCTCACACAAAACACGGCTAGGGCAGAAGGCCAGGAGCCGTAATCCAGGGCGGAGGATGTAGACAGGAAGAGAGGAGCAGTTCAAACGAGCATCCAGACACTCCACAAGGCAGAGAGGGAAAGGCGTGGAGAGATCAGCGCACAGAGTCCCAGCGTCAGTGCTGACGCAACGTCAGAGTGGGGAGTTCCCTGTTGAGCACGCAGAGAAGGGCCGGGGTACAGAAGCCGTAATACACGGCTCAGGTAACACCAGGGCAGGAACTGAGGAACAGAGATCTGGAAAAGCGAGAGGCAAAAGGGGGAGCAAGATAAGTCGTCAAAACAGCAGAAACTAAACTGCACTTGGAGCCTTAAGGCCCGTTCACACCAAGCACGATAACGATAAAGATATAGTTCTAAAAATCGTTCTCAGTATTAAAGAATAGTATAGTTCACACCACAACTATAACGATAACGATACAGAGGAACGATATCGTTGTGATAACTTTCAAAACGATTTTTTCCCCAGCTGATGAACGATAAAACACTGACAGCCAATCAGAATCCATCCTGCTGTAACGAGCTCAAGAATTAAAGCGGCAGATGAGCGTGCGCTTAGAATAAACAGACGATATCGTTCGCTGGTGTGGACGCTAATATCGTTATCTTTATAGTTATCGTTCTTGGTGTGAACGGGGCTTAAGAAAAACACGACTGGACACAGCACAACTAAACCGAAAGTAGGTCACGAGCGAAGTGTAGCATGCACACACAACAACGGTCTGACACAAGACTACACATGAGGGGAACTAAAATAGAGGGAGAAATTAGGGACTAACTAGTCACAGGTGTGACAGCAGCTAACGTAGTAATAAGATAATGATGGGGAGGGGAATTGCTGAGGCAACGAGCACATGGCGAACTGTCAAAACAAAACCCACGTGCTCCCGACAACAACCACAAACACAGACAAGACGAGGCCAACAACCTGCCGATCAGACCGAAGTCATGACAAGTGTAAACAGCTTCAAGTGATTTTAATGGGAGTTTTTGGGAGTGCTTGAACTAGACTGTTAGTGAAAATGTTTTTTGCTAATGTAAATGTTCTTTGCTTTCTTTCTGTACAATGAAAGTGTTATGATTAGTAGCCTAACTTGCAATGTTTTTATTCACATTAACGTTCAATGTTAAATTCACATTAAATATAAACTCAGTCGTATTAAAATTATGTTATGGCATGACATCCATATCTGTTAATTAAGTAAACAGACAGGTTTTTATGCATAGTTAATAGATTACATTATTAAGTTACTTTGACCATCGCCCACTATAGATCAACATAATCTATAAAGGTGAGAATCAAGATATTTCATGATATAGTTAATGCGTTTGGGGATGTTTCGAATAAAAAAATAAAATAAAACATAAGTGCTGTTGTGGCTGCTGTGTGTCACATGACTGCTTCAGATCAAGGCCATATGTGGTCAGACCT